TTGCATATAACATGTTAACTGCCAAGTATATTCTCAATGTTGTAAGAACAACATTTCATTGTAAGATTTCTTTTTAATCTCTGTGCAGTGAACAGGTTAAGAAATTAGATTGTAAAGATAGTCTTGTTGGATTTTTGATATGGTCAGTTTAAGGGTACTTTTTCAATATTTACTGTAAAATAACCATTCTTATGTTTAGTTTTTCATTTCTTTACAACTCAATATCAGACAGATGAGAATGAGCAAATCAGTTTAATACAAGGTACACTTTCATCATAAAACATCTTCACGAATGTCAATAAGTATCTAAACCTGGTGAATCGCCCCCTCATCATCCAATGGCTTCTCAGCTTAGCATAGCTGAGAAGCAGTCAAGTGAAAAGGAGCCCAAAGAGATATCTTCTGCTCATCATTGAAAAGTAAACTTACTACCAAATCTTTTCTGGGTTAGAAGAAGCATCACCAGTGATTAAAAGTGAGTTTTCTATAATCACATTCAATGAAAATAATTAGAAATTCTTGAAAAAGGAGAATCCATTCCCAGACTAAATTTTTTTTTCTTTTAACACACTGTACAAGGCACAAGAGCCACTCAAGCTAGAGGGTTACAGAGTAAGAGGTGCAGATGAAACAGTTAATGCTGAGAAGGATAAAAGATAAGTTCAAACTTTCCTGAAGGATCAGTCTTTGTTTTCAATTCAAGTTACTTATTTAATTCTAGGAATAATGATCTAAGACTGTAACACTGTAAGTAGGGCTCTTTCATTTCCCCAAAAATGTCCTCACACACACACACCCAGGGTGCAATATGTAAATTGTTGCCATTTTATATTTTTAATTTCACACATGCATGTCGTTTGCTTTTGATTTTGACAACTGCACAGTATAGTAGGGTCAGTTGGGCACCATCTGTGAGAAAAAGAGCACCATGACAAAATTCAATTCACCAGAAATATTTGGAAAAGCATACTGTACTGCTTGTATTTGTGTCAGAAGATTCAATACAAACATTTCAGAGTAAGTGTCAAACTGAGAACAGTGCAGAGGATACAGAGAGAGTTGGATGAGTCTAATGGTGATTATGAAGGTGTTTGGAGTGATTACTAGTGATGGCAATGTTATGCCTCCATTTATCTTCCCACAGGGCCTTAGACTCAACACAAAGGCCTACATCAAGTGCCTTGAGGAGATAGTTCTGCCCTGGGTCTAGAGGGTAGCTGTTAGAAGACCCACATGTCTGCACTATGCCACACAAACAGGAGAAGCCAGCCATGGTTGTCACAATTTCTGTGACCACATTACCCCTTACATCTGGCCACCTAACACCCCAGACTTGCAACCCTCTTTATTATTATGCATGGAGCACAGTTGAGTGAGAGATCAACAAAACTCTTTGTAGCACCAAAGATGAACTGACGGCAATGATTATGGCAGAAATTCATAAACTTAAACAAGGAGACATTGCAGAAGAGTTGCAGGAGATTCCAAAGTCATCTGGAGGCTTGAGGGTATGAGTAATCATGGCTCTCCACAGCTTCTGGTTTTGTTGCTTTCAGTAATACTCACTGCTTTACATTTATGGCACTTGTCCCACCACTAACCATTGCTCCATTTCTTTTTTCAGGTTTCATGCTGCTTTCAGCTACTCTTGCCTTAAATTTGCCATGTGAGTGTTAAGTTCTCCAAGCTTTCTCCCAATATTATATCTCAATCATCTCTTGATGATTGTTAGCAAGTTTTTTTTTGTCGCTGCTTTTCTTAAAACTTTGTCTTAACATTCATCTGTAGAACTAAATTTCTGTCCCTTCAAGTCTCTTCTCTGTGAGAAGACTTCTATAGATATTATATGACAGTTCAAAACTTTTCTTTTTTTCTGAGGACCTTTTACAATCCTTTAATAACTTGTTCAGTTTCTGAAAAGTATCTTGATATTAATATGCACTTTCAGAATTCGCTTTCTGTGATCTGTTACGATATTATCAAAACAGCTCAATTTCCACAGAGGTTTGATTTCAACATCCCCAATACATAACTTGCACCTTGGGTTGCCCCTTTTGCTAATGACTAAGCATTCCATCTTACAGAACTTGCTTTCATTAACTTTTTTTTTTTAATACCATGTCTCTTCAGAACATACACAATCAGAGCTCTCCAAAGATTCCTTTGCTTTATTATTTGTGAATTGCCAGGACTTCTCTATTGGCTTACAAGCTATTTGTTCCCAATACAGATTATTTGAATATCTTTTCCATGTAAATCAAGTTTTCTTACCATTTCAAGTTCTTCATGATATAAGGAATGCCTCTGTGTAATCTATGAAACTTAGAAGTGAAGAAAGATGTACATCTGTTTGTTCTGACAACATTCTATGATAATTACATTTCTTGTTACAGTGTTACAAACAAAAGTTACCTTCATCCCAATTCCAGTCTAATACTATTAGAAGCTCTATTCATTAAATCTTAATCATTATTTTTTTTATCACTACCTTCCTTATAAATCAATCTTCTCAATCTAGCTTACCTCACCAGACCAGATTTATAAATTCTTCAATTATATTTCAGTACAAGGTTTAATGATTAAAAGATTCATTATCTTAAATTTAATGAACACTTTCTGAAATGTTAATAAATTTTTAAAAAAAATCAAAGTGATAAGAAATACTTAAAATAAGGTGTCATATTTGAAAGGATAATATGTAAAGTAATTATTTCAGTATTTGAACATAATAAATATATATGATTTCCCATTTACTAATTCTCAAGGATAGGCATTGCTTGAAGCACTTCAGAATCAATTTCATCTGTGAGCAGCATGTATATACGACTTTTTAGGCCAACAAAGTACAGAGGTTACATACATGATTGTCTCCAGCAACAAGAACTATTTGTTGGTTACCATGTATTCTTATGAATCATTTCAGACCTCCAGCTAATTGGTAAATCTTGCCAGATTTATGGCATGTTCATAAGCAATATGTGACAGGAGCCAAATCAACTTTCTCTCTACATGGCTTCTCTTGTAACTTTTCAATCCTACTCTGCTGAAGTAGGCTCTACCAGATTTCCTGGTATCCCTCTTCAACTTTTTATGATTTCTTGAAACTATTTCAAAATTCTGTCACATACTGTGTTCTTTTGTTGCACCTGATCAGCAGCAGTTTCTTCCCCATACTTTTCCAAAATGTTTTCTTGCAAGGATATTTTTTCTCTCTCAATCCTTAAATCTCATCTTAGGTTTACAAGATGGATGCATCACACTTCTCAGCTTACCATTGGAGTCCTACAGTCATCCATTCTCACTAAGTGACTCTCCCATTGAAGAAGGTGCTGCAAATATATATACACACTTGTTTGTACCACTAATAAGTATTCAGATAGTCTACCAAAACACACTGACTCTACTGTGAGAAGTTTGCATACTACCTATTGAATAATCAACTAAGGTGGGAGGAAAAAATATTAAAAAGGTATAAATGCCAGCCAATAACAATAAGGAAAATTTTCAACAAGATTTGAATATAAATTATTTTATTACAAATTTTACTCCATCACATAATCACTTTCCACCTTTTTTGTTTTTTTATCACAATAACATTGTCAACTTACTCTTTGATCACCCCCACCAGAGAAAACAGCACAAAATCAGAAATTAAAATAGCAACTTCTAACAAGACTTGAACTTGCATTCCACACCTTAGAAGCCTATCCTTTAAATCTTAATGATGTCAACTACACAAGCATCGATGATAAAGTAAAGAACTAGCTGTACAGCCAGTTTGCCTCTCCAATTCTTTATCATGTCATCTTTTGTCTTACTACCAAGTGAGTTGGACTTTTTGTTCATTTCTAGAAGAAGCGTATGTGCTATTATCTTATTACTAGTTTTATTCAATTCACTCAAAAAGTGGGCTCTGAAAGGATTTGAACTCACATGTGTATGTCATCTTAATGCTTTAACTCACAGAAACCTGATGATTAAACAAAGTCCAAATCTACAGTCATTTTACAATCAGTTCTCACCGTCATCTTCGTTGTACTACCAGCATTCACTCACAAACATTCAAGCTATGAACTTTCAAAGATACAAACCTATCTATAAATTCAAACTTTGAACATTACACTGGTTCACAAGTGTAACCATTACATTACTGTGGCTGCTCAGTGTCACCTTGTAAACACAATGCAATTGTTGTGTCTGAGTTGGGTCATAGTTTTATTCATGGTTATCTGTCATTTTCAGAGATACACATGTTGCAGCCAACTAGGTTCAGAGTTTATCATCTTTAAAATGGGGTCACCATTGTTCATTAAAGAAATTCTTTAAATATCTCATGATTTTTTTAAAGTTATGTTTAAATTTTTTTTTTTGTAAGATACAATGCTGTGATATCAAGAATTAGAAGCTAGTGTTTAACTTCCTTTACCTACTCTGTAAGCAGTAGTAATGGGAATTGTACAGACTGAGCAGAAAAACATCAAAAGCATAAGGATGTGTTAAAAATAAATAAAGAGAGAAGATACTAGTGACAATTTATATTTATAACAGAAATTTCTTTGGAATTTTCTTTAAGCAACATCAACATATAAACTAGCAAACAGCATCAAGAATACAGTAACATAATTATCTTTATTATGTATATTAAACATTTGTACAAATAAACAATCTACCCTAAAGGGTTCAGTTCAAAACTCCATTGTTATCCAGATTGACAGACTCCTGAAGAAGGACATGATTGATTGAATCATTTTCTATGGCTTATCAAAGCCAGAAAATAATTTTAGATTGTAATAATTTTTGGGGGGTAGGAGATATTTTTTAGTGATACAAGTCTTACTAATTAACCCATAATTGGGGGAAGAGGAGGAGGACCTATACCTTTCTCAAGGTTATTTACACTTAAGTGAATATAATGGAAATTGGAACTCTGCTCTCCACTTAACAATTCCAAGCCATTATCCATTACACCAACTGCACGTCCAAGGTTACACCACCTGGTTCACCTTGTATTCCCAAGTAGTTACCCATCTAGGTACTGACCAGGCTTAACATTGCTTAACTTTGGTGATCGTATAGGAACCGGTGTTTCAATATGATGTGACCTGAAGATGGACAGAAGGCACAATGGCCATACATTGTGATAATAACAAAGATAATGATATTAGTCCAAATGTAAATAATAAACCCCAGAAACCTAACCTCTTCCTAAGCAAGGTATTTTATTTTTGATTTTTTTTTTTTTTTTTTTTTCAAAATCAAGCTATGTTCACTATTATTGCTACTGAAATAAAATAAAACATGGAAACAAAAGTTATTACAAACCTTCCAAAATAAAGATCAGAATGTACTTGTCAGAACAAGTTTTTTGCCAAAAGCAGTATTTAAGCAACAGAAGTAAGGACTTTCTCATTAAAAATAAGTTTTTTTATAAATTTGTTGAAAATGGTTTTATTTTTACCTAACAGATGTACATCTGTATTAATGGATAAAGCACTTTTTGAAATAGTATTTCCTTTTTAAGTATTATTATGAAGTTAGTGAATCCCAAATGTATTCTTAAATTTAAGATAAATCATGGCATTTTCTGACAGCCTGTTTACACATTCAGCACAAAATATTTTCGTTACTTTGCCTGTTAAGTGCCAAATAACATTAGCCATCCTCTTAAAATTTGCACTTTTTCATTTTCTTTTGATATTGAAGGTAATAAATATTTATAATGAAATAAGTTATTGTCTACATATACCTAACCTTCTTGAAACAAATTTTTCTTTCTCACTTGACCAAATCTTAAAATGAGGAACCAAAAGAGTTTCTTGACCAACATTTTAATCACAGTAGATACTTAAATCAATGACAAATGGTAGATTTTACAAGTACAAGAATGAACACAATGGAAATGGTCAATTCTGGTTTGAAATCAGTGAAACCTTCTGGTTGATTTACTCTTTACATATTTCAGTCTTTTGTCCTTAATGTATACCAAACTGTAGAGGATTCCAGAATTAAAAAAAAAAAGATCATTATAAGTAATCAATAAAAGAAATAGTTGAATTTGTTACTATTTGCATATCTGAGAATGAAGTAGACATTGATCTACAAAAATCATGTCAACTTGTCTCTTAAACATTAGTCATCCTTAAGAATGCTTTTTACTTTCATTCTTCAAAGTGTCTGATGAAGAAGGTTTCTCTACTCTTGCTATTAATGACAAGAGCTTGGTAGTTGAAATAAAATGGTCACATAAAGGTGATTTATGCTTTTAAAGTTCCATGTTCGCTCAAAATTTAAAGTGTTTAAATAAAATTATTAGACTAGAACTTAGTATTTTCCTCCTGTATATGCAGAAATGAAGCATCAATGAAAGGTAGTGAAACATTCAAACAAACTAAAATTCAACTTTCCTTTTTATTTTATTTTTTTTATTACTCATTGCATTATTTGAAAGGAGAGATGACTTCTATTCCATGTAATATGCAATCCTATGTTAGGTATGAATTGTCTGGTTTAATGAAAAAAAAAAAAAAAAAAAAAACAATTGTGTAACTTTTTCTTATTCATTTATTCTATGCATTTATGCAAAGGCATGAGGGGAGAAGTGCAACGTGGTTCTTTTGTGCAAAGATTATATTCATAGAATGTACCAAAATAATAGTAGTATGCATTATGCTAAAAACAAGGAAACATTTTGCTCTCTTCCCTTTGGTTGCATTGATTATTACTGTTCTCCATGCAAACTCCTCTAAGGTCATGTTAAGTTCATGTTAATATTAACATCTATTCTGATGGTTCCACATTTAGATCAAAATCTGATAACATTAATAGAAAAGAACAAAAGAAATGGACAAGATGATGTAAGATTGTTTTAAAAGGTACCTTGGAAAAGCAAACATAAAAAATAAACTCACAAGATTATCTGTACTATCATAATTATTTAGAAAGCAAAAAAGAAAAGACAAAAAATACAGATCACCAATTGCAGAGAAGACAGTGAAAGTCAAAGAACATACAACCCCTTCGCCAACAGAAGCAAAGTCGTAGGCATTAGTTTATCTTGCAAGATAATAGCAGCATTCTGGTCAAAATTAAGTCCTCTGATAGCGAGACTAGAATGACCTCTCCAGGGCAATGGTATATGGAGGCTGTGTGACACACGCCCCTTTAGACATACCAATAAAATCAAAAGTAATACTGGGTCATTCAGAGCTAGCTTGACTGCTTGAGTTGCCAGAAGTTTGTCAACAGAAGCAAAAATTAAGATAGTTTAGCTTAAACTGACCTGCATCAGGTTGCCATATGGAAGATTATAATCAGACTGTATACCCACACTTGGCATGCCCTTATCACAGTGAGAGCAACTTCTGTTTAGATCTACAAGTTACCAAAAGTAGTTACAAATAAAAGCATAATGTTGGGAAAGCTTTTTTTATCCATATAGATTTTAAACATTAAGGTAATATTACACAAAGTTTGAATATTTTCATATAAAATCATCTGACACATTTTTTTTAACTCAAATTATGATTTTTTTCCAGTTTTGCTAACAAATGATTTAAGCTATTGTTAAAAATAACAATAATGTTGTTATTGTTAAGTAGTAATTGGCCATCTATGACATGGCTTATTTTATTAATGCTGTCTATAATATACTGACCTTGTTAACTACAGTGCACTGAAGACATGTCAAAGTTCTGGATCATTGCTCTTTGGCTGAAGATCAAATTGTCTAGACTAACAATATTGCCAGGAAAAGAAGATCTAAACAATGCAAGATCATTTATCTGAGACTGGATCAGAGCAAGATAAAAATTAATTAGAATCATCACAAAACCAACCATGAAATTAAATATAGATTCCACAACATGTTAGAAAAGAAGAGTACTTAGTTTTCCATCACTGTTAATAATATAGGTACAAAGAGGGTTAAAAAAAGAAAAGAAAAAAAAAAGTTTTTTTTGCATTTCTAAGCAGTCTACTGCTATCATTAAGGCAAGGGTATTACAGACTTTGTCAGACATATTCACAGCGGAAGAATATAGGCCTTTGAGAAAGAAGAAAAAGACAGGTTGTTGAGTCTCCCTCCCACTAAAAAGAGGAATGAGACAGAAGACAAAATTAAAAGTGGGCATAGAAAAGATTTTAAACTATGTGGAGGCAGTTCGTTAAAAAAAAAAAAAAAAAACAGCTAGAGAGATGCACCGGTAAGAACATACACAAAATAACAAAATAAATAATTTAACACCGATAAAAATTAGAAAGTATAAAAAAAAAATAAGAAAAACAAAAAACATAAGAGTAACAGCTTTTTCTATATTTCCATATTTTTATTTTATTGATAATTATTATTGCAGCTAATGTTTTATTCAGAAATCAGCTCTAAAACTCAACCATTAAAAAAAAAACTTCTATTTCAAGTATTTTCCTGTCTTATTCCTCAAATATAAAGTAACAAAAAGATACAAATTGTACTAACAATTAAAAAAAAATTCGATGTCAAATGACAAAAAACTAAAAATTTTCAAAGTTGGTCTTCTTACTCTTAGTCTTCTTATGAAATCACACGCTATGACTTTTCAATTTCATGGTTCAAGAGAAAGAAAAAAAAAATTAAAGACAAAAGAAAAGTTGGTATCCATACATTTGTAAAAAGTATATTCCCTTGTAACCAGTGACCACAATTTATGCACCGAGAATCTTTTTTATCGAAAAACTTAGAAATTATTTATTCTCTAGTAAGTAATTTTCAGTTTGTCTTTATGATCATCATATGATAAATGATCAACCCTTGCATAGTTACCATTTTTATTTATTTTTTTAAAAACGTGAATATTTTTTTGTATTTAGACCCAAGTCTATGTCAAGTGTCTAATTAAGAAAAAATACTTTTATTTCCTAGAATACAAGAAAAAAAAATATTATAGATTATAAAACAGATTACGCCGAAACACGTGTCTCATGTTGTGTGACTCATTCTCCAACCAAGAAAGTGACGTGTGAAGGAGGTAAGTAAAAATATTAATTTAAGTTAAAGCACTTCAAACAATAAAATTTAAAATGTATTTACTTTTTAAATTTTGTTTTTGTTTGTTTAATTCAAATTATCATAATCAAACTATCAGGCTCAGAAATTGTTCATCTCAAAAATATTTTCACAACAAAGGAGTAGGGACTTAAAAAAAAAGGTTATTAGTACCGCAGCAAGACATTTTTTGAGACGAAGTAAAAGCCTTACACGTGCCGTGGGTGCAATATTTAAATTTTAAGACGTGACCGAAACCAAAGTAGATTTTTTTCTATTTAAAAAATAAATAAATAAGTGAAGTCGTTTTCTTAACCTTAAAAATACACCCACAAAAAAAAAATAACTAAAAAAAAAAAAAAAAAAAAAAGGAAAACATATATATATATATGTTTTGCTTTTTTTGTATGTATACATACATACACACACCAACTAGTATGTTTTGTACTAAAATAAATAAAAGTAAATAAAAAATATATAAATTATTATATAACACAAGCATCAAAGGGATCGATTGTCCCCCTTTTGAAGAAAAATATTTATGAAAATTTTAACGGGTTTTTAGTTTAAAAAAAGTTATCTCCCCCCTCCTCCATAAGACTTGTGACTATCATAATAGTACTAATATATCACTTAAAAATTTAATTTAAAAAAAAAAAAAAAAACGTGATCAAAGTAAATGGTTAAGTAAATAAAAAGATCGTTACTCATGAATTTTAATTTAGGTTAAGTTGGACCCATAAAAATATAAATAAAAAAAAAAGTTAAACAAAACACCGGATGTTTTTTTTTTCATTTTATTTAACATCTCTAAGCTTACTAAAATCTTTGAAAGCAATTATCAAAATAAAACACAAATTTTAGTAAAACGAATCAATAGTGAAAAAACACGACATCGCGTATCATTCAGTCAGTATTTAGGATAGAATTATTTAAATTTTTTACCACATTTTTTACAAGACATATTGGAGACAAGGAAGCAAACAGACGAGTTTACCAAGAGAAAAATAAATACATTTCCCTCGCACCTAAAGATTCAAAATTGTTTTTCCGATTTTCAATTTCGTTTACTCAAATTATGAATTATTTAGGAACAAACTGAAATCATTCATTTTTCATATTTAATTATTTTGGTTAGAGTATTTCTATCAAATTTTAATCAATTTTCATTCGTTTTACTTTTAGTTTTTTTTTTTATTGCCAACGTTTTTCGTGTTTATGTTTTTGCAGTCGACTGCATCTCAAATTCCAAGCAAAAGAATATGGAAATTTAAATAATTCTAAACAATAAAGTACAATCCTTACGTTTTTTTTTGTTTTTTTTTGTGAATTTTTTTAAAGTTAAAGTATGTTTTAGATTTTTAAAAATGCCCGTAGAATTATAAAGTCATCTCCTAATATTTTAAATTTATTGTCAATAATTATGAGAGCTGACAAATAACTGTCAGGAGGGAAAGTGATTACACACCATTTTGCTATAAAAGACAAGTCTGCAAAATAAAATAAAAAGTTCATTTTCCAACCAAAATTGATTACTAAAAAATAATATATTTAAAAAAATGTGTTAAAATTTTCCACGATCACATTTTAGATCAGAAAAACCGAGTAAAATTTTTTTTAAAAACTTTTAATAAAAAGAAAATAACTTTTTTTCTAAGAAAAAATAAATTATTATACACACAGTTAAACCAACAATCGAAACGTGGCTGAGACATTTTTTTTTGCACTAACAAAAAATTATTTCTTTAAATAAATATTTTTTTAAAACTTTAATAAGGTAAATAATCGGAAAAAAATATGCATCAAGTTTTGAATTTTTGAAAAAAGGGCTGAAAGCAAAGGTCATAAAAAATTTATGAATATTTTAGAAAGGCGTACATTATGCAGGGTAAAAACTAAAAATTCATAACTGAAGAAACAGATTTTAAAAGAACAAACTAACCTTCGTTATTTTCAGGAAGGGCTCCATTGTTATTCCAATTTCTAACATAAACGATCCCCAGAATAAGAAAGAAGAGTGCGGCAACAATAGGTAGGACCCAAGATACACAATGTGAATTCCTTTCTCTGAAGGGACCCTCACTGCCAATCAGTAAATAAGGGTCCCACGAATTTGTACCGGGCTTGTAAGGGTTTTTCCGCGTCTTTGTGTAATTCTGTCTGAATTCCTTTAGAATCTTAGACGTTGGGCTCCTGTTGACTGTTGTCGAGTACTTGGCCCTGTTGTCTGAATTCTGGAAAGGGGAATAGGCCGAAGACGACATCATGGTCGACTTGAGGGTCGAGGTCTTCACATCGTCATCATCTTCCTCGTCTTCATCGTCATCGTCGTCGTCTTCATCATCGTCATCATCTTCGAGGCTAATGTCAGAATCACTGGATTCAAAAATTGTTGTTCCTGGTCTGGATTTTTTGGGGGCCGCCGCGGCTGCTGCAACAGCAGCGGCCACAGCACGGCTACTACTTCTTCCACCCCGGGTATGATGAGGAGAAGGGTGAACCCTCGAGTGGAGGGCTTGCTGTTGTTGTGAATGAAGGTGATGAGGATGATGATTGGGGTAGCCGCTATTTCTGATCGCACCGTCGACCAAACTTGAAGAACAAACAGAAGGAGACTGTGATGCGCCATAAGGAATAGTTACGTTGTAACCATATTTATTAGTAGCAGTTGTAGTAGTTGAACTGCTTTTGATAGCCGATTTTAGAGCTTGCGGCGTTGAAGACGTGGGGCTATAAAGAGATGAATGCATCATTAAAGATTGAGGGGTTGTGTTGTGCCACCCAGAATACGGCGAAGAAGCCACTGCGGCAGTGTTATTAGGAATATTTGCTGAGGCAGGAGACGAAGACGACGGCGGGTGCCGGGTATCTTTTTTATGATTGGATGTAGAGCTTCTTCTATCATGGTACTGTGGTGACTTAGGACTACTAGTAGTGTTACTAGAATTGATACTGGCAACTGAGCTAGACATTCGAGTGGCTCTAGAAACACTAGCAACCGGTATGGATGGGGAATAGGACGATGCCGAACCGGTGAAGCCGGCTGAAGAAGGAGAAACCACCCCAGCCGCCGCGCTTATGCACTCAGAATCAGTGTCATCAGAGCTAAAGCTGGACAGGTCATTGCGAGACGTTCTCTGTCTAGCCGGTGCCGATCTTCGCCGGTTTTTGGCCAGAAGATGATTGAGTTTCTTACGAAGAATCGATCGCCGGTTACCAGTAAGGGGCAGCTTGATTTTCTCTCCATATTTCGCCAGTTGTTCGACCAGCTCTTCGTCAGACAACTTGTCCGCCATTATGTATATCCATGCCCATTCGCCGTGAGGAGCGCGCGTGCGCAGATTATAAAAATCAAGCAAGGGAGCGTTCCGTTTTGTCGAGGTTCGGCACAAAACATGGATCGAATCCGGCACTCAGCAGTAAATGAGCGTTATATCCACTGTCTCGTACATGTCGCTATTTGTAATAAATCGATTCTTTTTTTATTTTTTCATTTTTTTATGCACGATAAACGTACCATAAAACTTACTGAAAAAATAATGAAGTAAAACAAAAATGGTTTTAAAAAAATCTATGGATGGACAAACGTGCTAGCACATGCACATAAACGTCGATATTCAAAGATATGGATGAGAACGCACAATGATAATAAGAACTATAATTTTGTAAGAGGCAGCATAGCCTAACCCCGATACAAAACCAAGAATTACTTTCACAATATAGTTAACTAGAATTTGATATTTATTAAAACTTTGTTTACGTCAACGTTCGGAATAAGATCTCACATCTCACTGACAATAAATGACACTGGCTTGTTATTTATTCTCCAGAAACTCTTATGAAAAGTATAATTAAGAATTATGAAAAGTTTTTCTTCGTTTTAAAATTAATTGAATTTTTTAGCTCAAATTAATTATGTCCAAGATTTTTGTTTTCTTATTAAAAAATTTAATGATATATAATTAAAATATTCCTAAATATTTTTAGATAACTTTATCTTATTTTAAAAAGTACAAATATCATTTAAAAAATGTATGAAAAAATTGTTAAAATGTTTCAAGATTCAAATAATGATATTCACAAGTGATTGTGTTAGTCCTTTAATGTAATAATGACTCTAATAATGGCTATCAGTATAATTTCTAAAGAATCTTAAATTTGGTACAGTCACTTGTTGCTTAATAATTACACACTCACAACTAATACCAATTTTGTGTTAGAGTAATATAGTAATCTATCTATACAAGTGTGTGTGTATGTGTGTGTAATGGAATTATTTAATTTCCAAAATTTGTGACAAAAACTAATTTATAAAGACTTCACTACTTGTTCCTTATAAATATATATGTGTGTGTGTGTGTGTTAAAATTTGTATAAACACAAAAAAAATTAAAATGATATATAAATATAATTTTTAATGTTATAATTTTAGTTTTATATATATTCAAAGTCAATAATATAATTTGAATAATTTATATAGACTATTAAAATAAGTATTTATAAGATTAATTAGCTAAATTTTAATTTTGAAAATTTATTTTGTTTACATTTGTAATGAATATATATATATATATATATATATATATATATATATATATAAATGGATTTTATTTTTAACCCAACATATTTTTATTACTTCAAACATTAATTTTAGTGGATATCTGTATTTAAAAATGGAGTATCTACTCAAATACAGATATCCACTAAAAATAATATTTGAAGTAATATATATATATATATATATATATATATATATAGTCATCTCTGATTTAATGCACATTTGATTAATGTGCTAAATCAATTTAATAAAAAATCTATTTAGTGCGCTAAATCAATTTAAAAAAAATCTATTTAGCACATTCAATTTAGAGCGCTAAATATTTTATATACCAAAATTCAATTAGTGCATATATAATACTTGATTCGTGTGGTAAAACACTTCTCAGTTTAACCACAGTAATTGAAAATTGATGTGTGTGTGTGTGTGTGTGTGTATATATATATATATATATATATATATATATATATATATATATATATATATATATGACTCCAGGTCATCAGTGTTATTTGGGCTTATTTAATTTTTGGAAATGAAAAAGAAGTTGAAAATGCAGCTGGATTCTTCAAGAATATTCATTTAGAGAAACTTTACCAGTGTCACATTTCTATGTTTTTCAAAAGTAATATTGAGATGGAGAGATGTCTGGCTTTACATGATACGTCATCTGACATGAGATGCTAATTTTGATAAAAATAGTATTAAATACTTGTTAATTAAATAATGATTACACACGAATACGTTTTTCAGCATAACTTAATCGTTATATGAATAAAGACAAAAGGATAAGTTTTCATTTTGTCTTTATTGATATGTAAGCCTTCAGAACTATAATGAAATCATATGTGTGGATAGTCTGCATGTTTGATTCAAAGAACTGAACTACTGTACCCTCATACTTAAAAAATGATGGGGGAGTCCAGTATATATATATATATATATAGATAACTAGACTCGTTTCGAAAAACCCTCGAATTTTTGATTTGCTAATCAAATCAATCTCGAGGGAAAAAAGGTTTTAAAAAAAGAAAGAGCTACAAACATGAACTTCTGCCGACAAAAAAATCGCACAGATGCAGGTCTGAAGCCCAAAGAAAAAACCCCGATATGAGTACCAACTAACTAACAAAAGAGCTCAATACAACTGTAGAGCAGACCTAGATACACCTAGTGAGCCAGACAAACCTACCTAGGTTTCACCTAAACGGATCGTCAGGGAAAGTTGTATCTGTATCTATATATATATGTGTGTGTGTGTGTGTGTGTGTGTGGTAAAAATTTCAGATAGAGTATATCTGTAAAAGGCCAATATGTATTATATATATATATATATATATATAAAACTATATATAAATTTTTATATATCAAGAACAATATTGGGGAAAATGTATGATGACGTCGAAAACATTTTTGTGTGATGTGTTTGGTCCTTTAAGACTTCATCCGTCTAAATTTGTTAATGTTGGTGCAACAACAAAAAGAACAAGAATTAAATCATCTAGATTACATTAAAAAAAATTTAATTGTAAAGGATGAAACACATCACACAAAATCTGTGAAAAACTGCAAAAATACTATCTGAACTATATATCTCATTCAGTTCCAGGGATCTGCTTGTCAGTTACAGGAACTTTACCATTTGAGCATGTCCCCTTAGAGGCTGAGGCAATGTCCATAAGCATGAGTAATAAGGAAGCATTTGTCAAGAGGGTTAAATTTTTTTTTTTTTTGAAGGTTGAATCAGCCAAGAAGACTTGGGAATCACATCTAGATACCTGGGAACACCCTCAATCGAAAACCATCTCAGTGGACAGGGCTACCCAACCTTAAGGTATTTCTAATTGAATCTCATCTGCAAGGTTATGCATTGCTTATATCAAAATCTGTCACCAAATTGCACACATTTGTGATGCATTTGACCGTATCAGACTAAGTATAACAAAAGGTATATTGGGCTTAGTATCTTCGTACACCAGCATCATTTTTTCATGTACTGCCTCTCCCACTCAATAATAATAAATAATATATATATATATATATATATATATATATATATATATATATATATATGTACACACACACAGAATTGAATTAGAAGTCATATTACTTTGCAATATTTATCAGAGGTCAATTCAGTTTCATGATTTCTCACTCAACAGATAAGAAGGATTGTATTAATTACAGAATGTCTGTTTTATCATTTTATAAACATTATTTATACTATTTTTTTAAAATCAGAATTACCACAAGCAAGGCAGTAATTCCACTAAACCACAAGAGGTTACAGGGTGTGGAAAAATTAGGAATAGAAACATTAATCAAGTGATATTGCATTTAAATTTCTGCAGATTAAAGTTGGCTGGAAAGCATGGAGCCGAAAAATTGGAATACATTGAATTATATCATTTTGCATACACACACACACATATATATATATATATATATATATATATATATATATATATATTAATGTATATTTGGGCAGTAACCATTCTTTTAAACATCTTTAGTTATATATGACAGACAAGGAAAATTTAATTAATTTTTCCAGAGTTCTTACATTTTTCTGTTTGGTGGGAGTAAGGGAAGGCAAAATTTTCCATTGTCCCAAAAGCTTTCAGCCACATCTTTAGCCATTTTCACTGTGGGGTTTGTTTTATTAATATTTCTCTTTGTGTTTTGATGAATTTTTGAGCTGTTTTTTTGAATAGCAGTAAAAGCATTTACTCCTAGCCTTCACATGTGCACAGCTGTAATTTGAGTGAGTGTTTTTCTATCTTTTTGAAAGCTTTCAACACAACATTCACACTGTTAAATAAAGATTAATACAAATATAAAATTTGCCACTTAGCTGAAAACAACATCATGCAGCTAAGTGACAAATTTTATATTTTATTAATACTATAAATGCTCAGATATCGAGCATTTTATTGCAAAGGCTGCTTTGCCTTTTCTTCTACCACTGACTTACAGCATTTCTTGCTTCACACTATCTTTGTTATCACTATATATATATTATATAAACACAAGTACAAATATATAGTATATATAATATATAGTAATTTTATAGTATAATTTAATATTTTATATATATTATTATATTTTACAGTATAATTTAATATTTATTACTTAGAATGAATTCTATTTTAGTCTAACCCTAACATTAAAGCATTAAATAATTATTACAACCAAAGTTTGTTGTCAAGTTTTTTGAATTCTCATATACTTGTATTTTGATTGGTCATTCCAGCTTATGTAACAGCATTTCCCCTAGCAAGGGGTGTTTGATTGATTTGAAATCTTTTAAAACCCTTTATTATACATTAAACACGATCACTTGATAAGACACGAGAAGTGTTGAAACAAAATGGCTATTTTTGTAGTGATTTTATAACAAATTTATGTTATAATTTTGGAATAAATAATTTTTTTTATATATATATATATATATATATATATATATATATATATATATATACTGGCACCTCGAGGCAGTGTAATGGTTAACAAGCTTGTCTCACTAGAACAATTACAACTGAGTAGTGAGTTCGATCCTCATTGGGTGCCTCATACTTTCGGCCTTGTGCCACATCTAAGCTACGCTTGGAAAATCACTATATATATATATATATATATATACACACGCTCACAGGGGTGAACAAAAAAGTAGGTGAACAGTAGGTTGAATAGGGTTTGTGTTAGTGTTATATTATATAATAATTGTTTACTGGTAGA